AAACCCCACGATACAGTGCTATGGCTTTTGCTTTAAAAAGCTAAATGTATATTAAAGTAATTTAAAGAAAATAATCTTTTATATTTGCTCACTTATTTACCATTTCTGTTGTTCTTCATTCCTCCTGAATATCCATCTGATACCTTCTCCTTCAGCCCAAATCATAATCTTTACTAATTCTTACAGTGCAAGTTTGCTGGTGATGAATTTGCTTAGTTTTCATTTTTCTGAAAATGTTTTTATTTTGCCTTTATTCTTCCCCTCCTTTTTTTTGTGGGTATTTTCTAGATATTGAAATTCTGGGTTGCCTTCTTTACTTTCCAGTATTTTAAAGATAGCACTCCAGTGTTTTCTGGCCTCTGTGTTTCCTGGAGAGAAGTCAGTCTGCCTTCGGATGGTTGTTCTGGTGTATGACGTATGTAGTGTGAGTTTGGTTTTGTTTTCTCCTGGCTACTCTTGAGTTTTTCTCTTTATACGTATTGGTTTTAAGCAATTTGATTGTGTTGTACCTTAGTGTGGTTTTTGCTGGGTTTTTCTTCACCCCATTTCTCTCCAGTCATTCTGGGATTCCACTTACATGTATGTTAGACTTTTTCATATTGTCTCACAGATCATAAGACTGTGTTCATTTTTTTCAGTTTTTTTCCTGTTTTTCAAATTTGATTTGAAATTTGATTTCTGTTCACCTATATTCACGTTTACTGACTCTTATGTCACCTCAAATCTTTTAAGCCTAGCCAGTGATTTTTTTAAGATATTGTACATTTTAGTTTTAAAATTTCCATTTAATTCTCGAAGTTTTTGTATTTTGTATTTTTTTTTTGTATTTTTCTGAGTTCAGTTTGAACATATTCTCTATGGCCTTGACCTTAAGTGTGATTAACGGCTGTAAGATCCTGTCTGCTGCTCTAAGTCTGAGTCATCTTGGCCTGTCTTTATTGATTACCTTTCCTCTCAAGTATGGTAATACTTTCCTGTTTTATATCGGTCAAGTGGTTTGATTTAGATGCAGTTTTTGATCATGTTGACTTAACTTTGAGCTGCCTTATTTTTAACCAAGGAGAGGTTAATCCTTGTCCTCAAGAAAGGCGTAATCTAAGGTAGACCCTTCTGGGTTCACAGGTTGTCACCATGTAAAAAGTCTTACCACAGCATTGCCAAGAGTTGATGTTAATGAAAGAAACATGCATAATTTATTAAAACCCCCTTCATTCTGACTTTCTGCGTGGCCTTGATAGCTTTAACAGAAGCTTCCCCTGTGGTAAATTGGTATCTAAGAGTAGGCTTGAGAATAAGGAGATATTCTTGCCTAAAACAGGGAGAAAGGACCCAAAGAAAACAATAGACAGAGACAGACAGCCCTCTCTTGTGTTTCCTTTTTCGCTTTTGTTTTTCTCTTCTAAAGGGTCCTTTTGAAGGGAAATTCCTGGGTACCTCTGTTCTATGTAGAAATCGCTAATCTCTTAGTTTATTCCTAACTCTCTGGGGCCAAGCCTGGTAGTTGGTTTAATTCAACACACCTTATACCGCTCCTAATGCCCCTCATTGTAAGGTGGCTTTTTTGAGGTTATGTGGGTTATATATTTAGTGTCTTAGAACTTATTGACAACTTTCGTATATTAAATATCTTTGTTTAATAACCATGATTGCACTAGAAAACCCAAGTGGTTCCGAAACCACAGTGGAACCATGTTCGTAACCATGGTTGGGGCCACTGAGAGTTTAGCTGACCGAGCCATAAGCTGTTTGGAAACCCATTGCATCTGCCATGACTGATGTGAGGTATTTCTTCTTGTATTCCTTCCCCCCGCATTTGCAGGAGGTCCTCTTTGTCGCTCGCTTCAGCCCTCCGAGCTGTGGGGTGCAGGTGAACAAGCTGTGGTACAAGCCTGTGGAGCAGTTCATCTTACCAGAGGTACAGCCCAGAGCGAGAAGGCTCCAGTACCACGTGGGCTTTCCCAGTCCTGGGCGTGTGCTTTCAAAGCGGGCACGTACCTTTTCCTGTCCCGGGGCTGCTCCCCATAGCGGGAGGTGGGGCCACCAGCTGGGAGGCAGCTCAGTGTGGCACTCCGCCCTCGCGCCCCAGGAGAGCTTCACGGAGCCCCACGGGTTCCACACCACGGCTTTTGAGAAGTGTTGCATGTTGCCGTGGTTTATTTAGTGGGCCAGAAACCGTGTGCCTGCCTTAACGACAAAGGACAGTAATAGGTGTGCTGATGGACCAGACGTAGCTGCCACTGGAGTGAAGCAGATAGTTAGGGATCTAAAGTGTTGGGGTGGAGGGAGGTGCAGACAGATAACAGGAGAGTGATCAGCCACATCTCCAGGGTTAATAAAACTACTCCGAGGTGTGGAGGATATTTGAAACAAGGCTGTAGCTCTCGGTCCAGTCTTAAGGAGATGTGTGCTGGAAACCATCTCAGCTGCCAGGTGCCCTCATCAGGCCTGGAGTTAACCGGAATGCAGCTGCATCCCAGTGTGTTACAGATCATTCATCCGTCAACCTCGGGCTTTCCAGGCTGCTCCGGTCTAGTCTGAGGTCAGTTCTGAGCCCAGGGCTTTGGAACCGCAGTGGGGTTAGTTTTCCGGTCATCTCTGGTGGTCACTGTAGCTCAGCGCTGGGGCTCATCCGGCAGTATCGGAGCTGAGTTAAGATGTGAGAGCTCGATGGTGGACAGGTCCTGCACTAATCAGGAAACAGTTTCCTGCCGCCCTTCATGGGAAGGGAGGGGGTGCTGTCCACATTTATGCAACAGCAAAATCACACGTTTTATAACATGCTGTGGCCCTCCGGAGTTGAGTACTAGTAGTTAAACTATATGTGTTAATTCCATAAGTGTCAAAGGGAGCTCCTTTGTCTCACCTATATGTGAACTTCTATTTAAAAACATATGAAATAGTGGGGAAAGTTATATCTCAGTGGCAGGGCACGTGCTTAGCATGCACGAGGTCCTGGGCTCAATCCCCAGTCCCTCCATTAAAATAAATGAATAAATGAACCTAATTACTCTCAAAAAAAAAAAGAAAAATTTTTTTTTGAAATGTGAAATAAAAGCAAAACTAAAACATACTGTGAAAAATTTCCCAGTTTCTTAGTGTTATAAAAAAGACTATGGTGAACATCCTGACACGCTTGTGTACATAGCTGGTTATCAGGATGAATTGTTGGCTCAAATTTATACACAGTTTTGAGATACATCATTTGTTTCTCGAGGACAATTGCAGTTTTTAATCAATCTGAGTAATTGTCAGCATTATATGAGAATGCCATTTGTGTTATATCCTTTCTAAATTTCATGTATGAATTTTTTCTTTTTTAAATGAAGTATGTACTATCAAAGGTATCTCTTTGTTTTTCTTTATTGGAGGTACTGGGGATTGAACCCAGGCCCTCGTGCATGCTAAGCACATGCTCTGCCACTGACCTGTACCCTCCCCCTGGTAGCTCTTAGTTAAGAATAGTGGCTCAACTAAGTAGCATTGGCCAAGTGTTGGATCTGTTTTTGAAGGAAGCCATTTGGTTTGTTGACTTGTTTATTGAGAGCTAAGTCTGTGCAGAGTACCGGGGATGTACAATGACATAGTTCAAAGATCCCTGCCCTTAAAGCAGCTCATGATAGTTGGGGAGGAAAAGCTGACATGGCCCTGCCGTAACTTACTGCATCCCGGGCACAGCTGTAAGCAGATTTCTACACTGTGACTGGTCAGCAGGCTTCTTTGGGATTGAAGCAAGTCACAGGTGAGAGTCCAGCTCTTCTACTGAGAGCCAACATGGGCAGGACCAAGGGGAGAGTCCTGGGACTCTGAGGACCGGGAGCACTAGCCTAGTGTCGGGCACAATCGGAAAGGTCTGAAGCTGCTGTCGGGCTGGTCTTCACGGACAGCGTCCGAGGACTGGCCCAAGTAGGACGGGAAGCTCCGCCGTGCCTGGGAGTTAAGTGCATCAGGGCGGACACCTGTGAGTGCAGTGGGGCTGTGTGTGGGTCCCTGCTCTGCCCCTCATTGGCCCTGTGACCTTGTGCAGGCTGCTTAACCCCACTGTGTCTCTCCTCCTCTGTGCAGCGACCCAGTTCAGAGGGTTGTTCAGGGAGTAAACGAATGGATGTAGAATGTTGAGAACGTGCTGCCCTGTGGCAGGCAGT